AACCACAGATTTCAGTCTTTTTCCTATACTGACGGATCGTACTTACACTTGCTTGTGTCCATTCTCATTCTGATACTCCCTTGTCAATTCTGCCACTAGCTCTTTTAAAAAGCCCCCTTTCCTATTCTGACTTCTGTTTCTGTGAAGTAAAGAAAGGTTCAATCCTAAGTCCTATGTTATCCTGGCAGGCAAGGCACAGGTCAGCAGCTAGGGAGGATTGGCTAGAGACCCCCACCCCCGAATCTTCACTGGTCTTCACAATTCAGCTCTCTGGGGCTGACCAGTAGTCCTGGTACCCCAGTAAGAAAGGGTCCTTCCTTAGAGAGGACCTAAGCAAGAACCCTGAAGACATCTGCTTGCAAAAGGAGAAAGTCAATAGTAGCCAGAAAGATGTCTGGAAGCAACTGCTCTGCCCAGACTGCTTGTAGGATCCCAGGGCATAGAACCTTCCAGACATCCTCCTGGCCACTACCAAGGCCAACCTTGTGATCTGAGATCCTCTCTGCTATGTTATTTGAGATGATTTCTTCCTGCCAGCATCGGGCCAGGTGCCCTGGACCTTGGTAGCCAAGAATAGGCTTCAAAAGGCTAAATGGAAAGTGACCATCCTCAAAGGGCTCAGACTTCTCAGAAAGCTTTGGCACACAGTCCTGACCTTAGGTCAGTTTCCTGCAAATGAACTTAAGACAGCTCCATGAGGGCAGGGACTATGTCTGTCTGATTCACCACAGTATCCCTGACAATCCCTAGAGCACAGGGCGCGAATACACCTGGTGTTCAATACTGATTCACTGGATTTATGTATAATGGTCTCTACCAAGGAAGGAACAAGAGCTCAGTAGAAAGAGCCCAAAATGTAGAGTTGGACAGCCCTGGATTTCAAACCTGCTAGCTACACCATTTATATTGCCACATGCAAGCCACTTTACCCGTCTCAGACTCAGCTTCCTGTCTATACAGTGAGGATAATAACACCAGCCTCAAAGCATTGTTAAGAGCATTGGACAGACTTATATGTGAAGCCTTTAGCATAGTGCAGGGCGGAGGGCATGTCTTTGTTTTCAGTCCATAAGCACTTACATACCTCTCACTATATGCTAGATACAATTCAAACATTGTAGGCAGGGGTGGTGTCCCAGATAACAGTTCATTTAATTCTTGAAACAATCCTATGCAGTAAGATCAATTAACCCTCCTCTTCAGTTAACAAATTGAGACAGAGAAGTAAAGTGACTCGATCAAAGTCTGATATCTAGAAGTGCAGGGCCAGGATCCTTATTATTTATAAAGTCCAGACTGTTCAGTATTTTACTTCTCTGCCTGTACAGCATGCAACCAGTGAAGGCTAGTTCCTGTTGCTGCCCTATTTGACTATGGGATATATCTGACTAGGGCTTTCAGTTGCAAAGGAAACATATTCAGGTGTTTCCATGGTTTGCTATTTATTTTGTTTTTTAAACTATGGCCTGCTCCTCTGAGATCCAATTTTGGGTAAGTTTGTTGATCAAGAACTTCCCTATCATCTTGTCCTCCTGCTATCTCCTCTCACACGACCTATCAGAAAGAGACACACACACAGCTGTGTAAAAAAAAATGAAAAAGACAGGCACAGAAAAAGAGACAGCCCAAGGGAGTGAGCACACATGCCCTTAGGAACCAAGTCAAAGGATGTCTCACATCCCTTCTAGAAATCCCCCAAAATGACTGTCTACACATAGGGTGTGGAGAGCCACCTATCCACACGGTGCCCAAATGCACCAAGTCTCAGCTCCCCCAAAGACCAAGTCAGCAGAAAGCAAATTAAGCCCTCTCCTCCAGTGGCCAAAACCTCATCATAAAGAGAGTTGTCCTTTTTTCTCCTCTATAAGATTGCATTTGCCCTACTGCCAACCACGAAGAAAATTTCATTACCAAAATAAATCACTTGACCTTGCTTCTCCGATGGTTCAGGATTAGTGACATCACAAAGCACTCTACAAATGCTCTGAAATATTGGAATAACCCTTTCAAGTAAAAAAAAAAAAAAAAAAAAAAAAAAAAAAAAAAAAAAAAAAAAAAAAAAAAAAAAAAAAAAAAACAACAACAACAAAAAAAAAACTTGGTATTTCACTAAAAGACTAAATCATTTTTTATTTTACTGCATGGAATCCAAGAATGCTTTAAATGTTTTCATTTTCAAAATCCTTAGAGAAAAAGTATGCTCTTTAAGGCCTTAAGAAACCCTGACTCCTGGTCTGGTTTGTGTCCTGATTCATGCATGGTAAGACGGGGAACAGGCCAAAAGCCCAGGACGGTAGCTCTGGCCCCACACTGTTCATATGATTCAATTCTCGAGTGGCTGGGGCCTCACCATGGAGGCTCCCAAGCCATCTTTCTCTCATCCTCCAAGTCACAGCCAGGTCAAAGGCAGTTCCCAAGCAACTAAGACAGTTCCTCTTAAGGAGTCCAGTCTCCACCACCCATAGCCCTATTAACCACCATGGTTCCCTTCCAAGGCAGCAGTAGAAGCAAAGCTCCTCAGAGAGAGGGAGTTCAGGGGGGGATGTTTCCTCCCCAAGGCAGCTGCCTGGAAGTGGAACGGCTGCAGGACAGTGCAGCCAATGCATCTTCTGAGCCTCAATTAGTATACCTACTCCTGCAGGCTGTGTACTAAACCCACAACCAATAAGACTGTTCTTTCCAAATGAGTTAAAATTCCTAATGCTGCTTGCTCAAAAGGATTGTCCCATTTTAAATCAGGTTAGCCACCAACACAAGTCACTAAATGTGTTGCTGAGTTCAGGAGAAAAGAACCCATATATCAAAACCATGCACACTAAGGAAGCACTCAGAACTTAAGTTACACTAGGTACCCAAGACAGGCTAGGCTCCCAAGGAGCAAAACTGACCCTCTCACTCAGTGACAAGTCACAAAATGGAAAAGTCCAAAGGATCCATGGACATCATCAACTACCATACCATCTTATTTTACATAGGAGAAAACTGAGATGAAGACCAAAGGTAAAATGTTCAAGTTCACTGTCGATATGACTACTCAAATCCAAAGCTTCTCAGTGTTCTTCCTAGCCTGCTGCCTCTGAGACCCAATTACCAACAAGAGCTCTTATACAATTATTTTCACACAGAAATATTTTTATAATTGGGTTATAGGCGAATTGGTTAAACCCACCAGGGCTGCTGCCGATAAAGTAAAATCTCAATGGAGAACAAAACAAAATTGGAGTTGACAAAAGTTAACTTATGCTTTGAATTATGTTCTCAGCCCTAAAATCTTATTCCTGAAAGGACAATACCTTTCCCAGTATTTATTGTGAGAAATGAAGTGCAGTAGTTATGCCCAACTGGGATTTCTAATACTATGCCTTTGTTTTAAATTAAAACAATTTTTGGGCAAACAAATGAGTGTTGTACAAGGTAGCGTCCCAAAGTTACGTTTCACTGCCCATACTAAAGTCATCTTCAAAGAAGCTTCAAAGATTAAAATGCTTTTCTCTGCCTGTAAGAAAGGGAGGTACTGCATTTTCAGCTATGAAAACAAGACCCACAAAACAAATCGCCAGGGTGAGGAAGAAGAGCCCAGGAAAGATACAGACATACAGAAAATCTAGGGCCCTGAAACTCTCTTCCCATAGTAGCTGAGAAGTTTCATCCACAGTCCATTTCACCAGATATGAAGAAGCTTCCCACGGTATAAAGGATATTATGGATGCATAAAACAAATGCTGAAGGCTTGGTTCTCCTTTTCCCCTGTGTGTGACAGGCTGAAAGCCTCCAGTGCTGCAGAAAGCAAAATTTTCCTTGTTTCCATTACATCATCCAAGTTGGAGAGGAGGACGGTGGGGTGGGGGCACAGCTGGTGGCAGCTGCACCACCATCTGCTTTCTCCTGAGCAGTGTGCACTAGTTGAAGCCACAGCCTCCTATGGCTCCTAACAGAGGAAGTGCAGTATTAAAGGTACAACACCCTATTATGAAAAAGACTTCAAATTGCTTAGAAATAAATCACTCCCATGATAAGTTAATCTTAGGTAGATCACTGAGCCAGTTCTCTTTAGGTTGTGTTTAAGTCTTTTTTAGACTCAGCTACAGTGCAAACTCTGTCAACTCAAGGTGCTCAATTAGACAGGCAGAATGTTCAAGCAACCATACCTGCCATCTGCTTCTCAAAAGGTAAGCAGCCAGAAAGTACAGGTCTGCAGCTGGAAGCATTTATGGAAGGAAGTTAGGGGGGGCGCAAACCCAGCAAGCAAGCCCCAGACTGGCAGGTGGATCTTTGCTGCTGCCCTTGGCATCTGAGCCAGCTAGTTAACAGGTCTCACTCTCCTTGGCACTCGGCGTTTCCTTCAGAATGCCCTGCAGGGCATCCCCCAAAGAAGGGGAGATGGTTGAGAGTGACCCAGGGGTGCTAATGCCTTGTCTGACTATTCAACTGCAAACTGGCAGCAAAGCTGCAAACTGGTGGTTCAGAGGCTGATCAAGCCCATGCACAGGTTTTCTCTGGCCTGCACAGAGTTGCTTAAAAAAAAGTGCTGGGTTTTTTACAAGAGTAGATTTCATATAAGCATCTAGATTGCTGGCTCTTCCTCAAGGGGGTGGTGAGCAATCAGGGGATTTGGCAGCACCAGGCCCCCATTCCTAGGGCATCAGTTACCTAGAGGTGGCAGTGCTTCCTTGCAATCAGGTCTGCGTTCAGAAGACCACCTCCCCACCATTCCGTGTGTGCATATGCCAGTGCAACTACCTATGTTCCTGCCTGGACCCCTAAAGTTTCTGACGTAATGCCGCTAAGCATGTAGAAGAAGAAAAGCCCAGGGAGTGATTTCCCAGAGGTTCTTTACTGACTCTTCTGTTTAGTTGAAAGCTGGTCCTTTGGATGACCCACTAAAATTCTACAAATATCATTCAACCCCATACAATGAATGGCTCTTGCTGGAAGGCCAGCTACAATCTATCCCCTACAACAGGCTGTAATATTTTAAAGGAGCGTTCCAGGCCACTTACCATACATTTTGCCTTCGTCTGATAAGATGATTTTCCTCCTCCCACATGGCGGATAGATAGCCAGGGCCTCCTGAAAGCTCTGCTCAATGTCGGGGCTCCAGACCCCTTCTGCGTCATTGTCAATTGGCTTATCTGCAGAGTCGCTCATCCTTTCCATGTTTTCGGCAGGGCTCTCGCTGCCGCTCCAGCTGCTGGGCTCAATTTTGGCGGTGGGATTTTCCAAGCCGAAGCCTGGAGTCTTTTCAAGAAAATAAACCTAAAAGAGAAAACAAGCAACAGTGTAAGGGTGTGGTGACCACAAACATAATGCTCTTGCTAGCTCTAGTGCAAGTTCTTCAGTCACCAGCTTTTAATTTTTATTTCAGTCGTTTTGGGGGTACAGGTGGTTTTGGGTTACATGGATAAGTTCTTTAGTGGTGATTTCTGAGATTTTGAGGCAGTCACCAGCTTTGCTTGGAGAACTCCCAGGGGAGAATATGGAATTTTGAGATCCAAGTGGCTTTATTCTCTCAGCATCATGTTAAGCACCTACACAGAAATGCAACAGTGGGCAGAAGCTGGATAGCCTTCACAGACAAGAGGAAATTTATACAGAACAATAGTACTCAAGTTTGCAGTGATTCACACAAAAGCCATTTACTGAGTGTCTACTATCTACCAGGGGCACTTCACTAAATGATTATCAAATCTCCACAGCAGAACAAGTTATTCATAAGAAAATAAAATAAAGGGTTTTTTTGTTTGTTTTTTGAGATGGAGTTTTGCTCTGCTGCCAGAGTGGAATGCAGTGGGGCGATCTCGGCTCACTGCACCTCCATCTCTCGGATCCAAGTGATTCTTCTGCCTCAGCCTCCTGAGTAGCTGGGACTACAGGCATGTGCCACCACGCCCAGCCAATTATATATATATATATGTGCGTGTGTATATATATATACACAATTATATATGTGTGTGTATGTATATGTGTGTGTGTATATATATATATACACACACACAATTATACACACACACACACACACACACACACACACACATCAGTAGAGACAGGGTTTTACCATGTTAGCCAGGACAGTCTCAATCTCCTGACCTCATGATCTGCCCACCTTGGCCTCCCAAAGTGCTAGGATTACAGGCATGCGCCACCGCGCCAGGCCAAAAAGTTTTTAAAATAATCCACTTCACCATGGCAACTGGCATCATAACTCTGAAACTCTGATAGTTTCACTATCCCAATACGAGATCACCAAGATGCAAGGGGAGGAAGGGAAGGAGGGAGGGAGGGAGGGAGGGAGGGAGGGAGGGAGAGAGGGAGGGAGATAATTTTGCTATCACACATAATCATTCTCTGAGATAGCAATGCCAGCTGACCTGTACCTATGTCATTTATTTCTGGGTCTTTTACCCTGTAGAATGAGGTTACTTTGTTACTCTCAGCAACTAGGTTGTAACTTTGAAGTGGGGACCAAGTTGTCCCCACTCTTGACTTCCCTGCAACAACTATCACAAGTACCTAGCACACCTGTGGAAATACACTGTATTGACGTGGAGCACTTCCTCTCGTAGCCTACGCTGAATTCCTGACCACATGAAAACGGTGGGGGAGACTTTCTTTTTTGTAGCAATGATGATTACAGAACTAAAAAATAAAATAAAATCAAAGATTTATTCCCCTTAAATTATGCATATAACCTATGGTCATAAAGGGATAAGCTTTCCAAACAAATGTCAAATTGGCATAACAACAATGTGAAAATGATCTAATCCAGTACTCTCTGCTGTCCTGCACACTGACATATCAACATTTCAATATTCCTTTGTTGAAAAGGCATCAGATCATTAATTCAAAGGCCCCCCAAAAAAGGAGGGGAAAGGACTGATCAAAAAGAGGATGCCCAGGGCCTGAGTAGGGAGGGCTTCATGTGGCCACGGTTCCTCCCCTTCCTGCCCCCTCAAGTCCAGGCAGTATTACAAATGGACAACCAGGAGGGAAGCAAGTGCTGGTGGCCCCGCCTGGCACCAGGGACTGCTCCATGTTCCAGGGCCATCACCTGACAACAAGCAACCTGTCTTCTTCCCCGCTGTCTCCCAGCTGTATCCTGTGCCCCTGTCCTCCCCCACCTGTGTATATCAACAGATGCCAGGTGCAGAAACTCTGAGGCACATGAATATTACACAATTAATGGTATAACTATAACTAGTGGGTACTTCTGGCTTCTTCCCTTACAGCTTTGTAAACTTGGCAGCACCTGGATTAAAAGAAAAAAAAATACACAAAAAACCCCTCTGGTTGGCTGCCTTCAAATGCTGCTACTAAGCCATCATTCAAAGAACCCTGTCAGCAAAATATTTACTACCTCTTACCAACATATGTACATTTACACAGAACTTTCAAAATTGCCAAATGTGAAGGTATAAATTACGCCACAAGAAAGCATTTTGTGACTGACCTCCAGATGAACCTCAAGATGCCTGCAGTGTGGGCTTTTTGAATTCTTAAACTATTACCATTTTTGTTGGGATCTAAGAGTCTTACAAATTCAAACTAAACTATACTCTAGAGTCTGTTCTAGCTCCAAGGTAGTTTATTAGATAAATTATGACAAGGATGAACTCTTTGAGCAGTGGCTAGCCCACCTTCTTCCTCTCCACTCTACCCCCCAAAAAAAACAAAACAAAAGACAAAAACAACACACACGTACAAAACCACAGGCCAGTCCTTGAGCTCTAGGCATTTCACAGCGGTATGAATTTACTCCAAGGAGCTGCACTTTAAAATAGTAGTTACGTCCAGTGCTCAGTCAGAATGGCAGGCAATGGCATCCAGGACAGTCGGGGGCAGCTGAAGAGACCAAGGGACCTTTAACTGCCCAAAAAGAATGTTCTCATATAATTGCAAGCCCCGGAGTCTCCAGACCAAAACACGCCAACCGTCCCCATTCAGTGCTTGAAGTCCCCTCAAAATCTACTGAGCTGGTCACAGTCTAACCTTGAACACCACCAACAGCAGGGAACTCATTACCTTCTCGGTACTGCTCCACTTCATACTGACATGTTGAAATTCTTCCATCTATCAGGTGAAAACCCATCTCCTGATTAACATATACACATCCACTCCTTGAGAGCATATACCATCCTCCAAGGAAACAAATCTCTCCTAAGATACCCACTTAGGTATGACAGGAGCAGCTCCCAGGATCCTAACTGTCTTCCAGACTAGAAACCATCATCCCTCTGCCCACCCTCATGAATGCATTTAATGGCCCTCAATAAATGGCACTCAGAGGTGGACTTACTTTTCATTAAACTTCTAAGCTCCTGCTCCTCAGGGGTTGTCCCCGAATCCTGTCTTTTGTGCAATTGGTGTCAAAGCTAAAATCAGGAGTTTATGTTTATTCCTATTAAAGTCTATCATTTTTAGCCTCAGCCCACAGCCCAAAGATGGGAAGATTCTTCTGAATCCTAACTGCACACTTAGTGTCCTGAGACCCTGAACAACTTCTGAAGAGCTATTTGTCACATAGGGAGGATGCAGATCCACTGTGGGGAAGTTCCAAAGAATATTCTGACTCAACATAAGAAAACAATTTCTGCTACTTGAACTGCTCCACAAGGGGAAGGCGGTGGAGAAGACAGGCAGCAGACCTTTGCAGACAACCACTTCTAATTACTTTTATAGCTATGAATTACAAGTTCCTGGTTGTTTGGGGGAATGCAGTATTAACTAGCATTAATTGATCTATCCACTTGGTAAGTACAGCCACTGCTCTAAATGCTGTTTTTATTCCTTTACCGCAAAGGGAAAGACCCGGTGTGCCCTAGCTCTTGCAGTTTCTGGTCAACTAGAACTCAGCAGGATGGAATTACCTAATCTTGCAATGGGCAAAGAACTACCAGATACATAATCCAAAGAGTTATACAGACCTTTGGTTTTACAACCCCATCATACGATGAGGACCTAAATGGGCAGAGAATTTCCAGTCACAAGACTGGGGCTAGCTTAGAAAAGCTCCCTATACTGGATACCAAAACAACCATCCTGGCACTCCACCCCTCAGGTTCCTTCCAGCCCAGCTCAAACTCCAACTCATCCTGGAAACTGGCCTTGTATCTAGAGGCTCTGACAGTATCAACCACACTTTAGGAGAATCCTAAAAACACATGGAAATACTTAACGGCCACGTAATCCATCTCGATTCTGAATCTATAGCAACAAGCACCTGATTATAATCAACATTAAAATCTAAACAAGTGAATTATGCACACAATGTCTGTACCTGCAGAGCTGTATCTTTATCTCCCCATACATATACATCCTTTGAGTAAAAGCGTCAGCTTTCACTAAATTCCGTAAATAAAGAACACAGTATCAAGGCAAGAGGTGGGAGGGAAAGGGAGGAGAGGTGGTATGAAGACTCCCAACAGATCTGGGTTCCAAACCTACTCGCCCTCAAGCCACGGAGCTCAAAACTATCGCAATTACTTTTGTGTCAACCCAATAACTCTCTCAGAAGCTCAGGTTTTCATTTGTTAAATGCAGATAACAAATAAAATTCAATCCCAATACAGAAAAATGATTAAGGGGTAGAGGGACTCCATTCCATATGAAGTTGCCTTAAAGATTTAGTAAGTTGCCTTAAAGGTTTAGTAAGATCATGAGTGAAGGTGCTCTGTCATCTGTAAAACCATGAACAGATGTTTACTTATGTCCAAGTCCATCCTCCCTAGACAATGATATGTACCTTGTGACGGATGGTGAAGAAATAAGAGAGCTTCATCTAATGGTTCACTTTGGGAAATCAATTTACAAAAGATCCTTTTCTTCAAGGTCTTCAAATGGCTGCATAGAAAATGGAAATTGGTGACAACACCTTTATTTCTAACACTCATCTAAATTTGAATATATTCACGGGTTCAACAACTTTCAGATTCTTATGGACAGTGTGGTGCAGGGTAATAACCCTTTCCACAGAATGCCTCCAAGGAAAGAGAACAGAAAAGTCTTGTTTGTTGGAAATACATTTAAAAATATATTTAGTAGCCCCCACGTGCCTCAGTTTCCATCATAAACACTTTTCTGAAGAATCCTTAATTCCTGAAATTTTTCCCAAACTCCAAAAACAAACTTGTTACTATGACCCAAATATCCTGGTAACTGCCTCAACAGCCACATTCTCTAAATGGATCATTATTTCACCATAACCTACCGAGGTTTCAAAAAGAGTAATATGAGTACAGATAAGATATCACATGTGCATT